GGCGTGCGGCCAGCCAGCGCACGCAGGGCTCCAGCAGTGCCCAGTTCGCGCTGCGGAAGCTCTCCATGGAGATCGCCTGCGGGTACCCCAGCACGCGCATCACCTCGACGAAGTCTATATATTGCATATTAATCCTTCATTTTCCGTTATTTTCCTAAACTAAGTTTTCGTATACAATTATTGTGTGTGTGTCTACAGTTTACTAAATTTTTATTAACATATGGCAGATTATGTTATTTGTTATATGCAATTTAAAGTAAATACTCACTTCTTATATCTCTATAAGACATTTTCCTGTATTCTAAAACACTCGGGAATAAATCGGTATAAACAAACCAAAGACAGTTTTGTCAGTTTGGAGTCGTGAGGTTGCTATGGCAGCACCAATAACGTTCCGTTTTAATGTATTTCTTGTTTTACTACCCCATTTATGATTTATTAAAAAACAATACAACAACAACCAAACAAATGTTTGCAAATTGTTTAATTTCTCCTATTTTTAATTTAAATACAATTAATTACATTGACATGTGGTTTTGAAGATCTATTAACAGATAGCGTTTGTGAGATTATGTGAAAAGCATAGATGTACTACTAGAACAGGATTGAGCTGTTGTCGAAAAAATGACGCAGAGCGAGACCTCAATAACTGTCCGTTCTATCTCTCTCTGGCGATGGTGACTATGTTAAAATATGATTTTAGGACAGGTATTTTAAAAAGCCTTGTTTTTGTCGTTTGACGTCAGCTGATTATTACTTCAGATAGATTTTAACGTATTATGATAGTGTGTATTTACTAAAAACAATACAAAATACATAATTCTAAATCAGACATCGCTAAATAAGTATTGTGCAGGTTATAAAACAAACCTATCTTATTCCTTATATCTTAAATCTGAAATTAAAACAACGTTATTTTAATAGAAAAAGGTAGAAATTAATACATAAGTGTTTAAGTTATTTGTTCTTGAACTACAATTGGATAGTCATGCATTCTATCTAATATATGTTTTTAAAAAATATCACGAAATAAAAAAAGACTCTGCCATTAACGTCCGAGTTGGGATGTCATATGGGGTTGTCAGTTCAGGTGTCCGAATTTCAAACAAATAAAAGAAAACCTGTATGCCAATCGCAAAATTATTATGTTAAAAAGGTTTTACCCGTACTAACAAATAAAATTGCTTTAACATGTCGTTAATAAATTATTATTAATATTTAGAAACATTTTAAAAAGTTAATATTTTTATTGTATTACATTATATTAATTGCCTATTTTTCTACAAACAACGAAATAATTGGTATCTAGCAACTCTAGTTCACCATTAGAAAGAGAAATATCGGACACTTGTAGCCGTCTCACTCGGGTTCAATTTTATTTTGCGTGCAACAAGACTCTTATGCCCTTAGGATAAGGTTCTCTTTTCTTTATTTTAACTGCAAATAAAACACACTCATGTTGTACGTAGTACTTATTACCTCCATGGTGAAAAGTGGCTCCCTCAGTACTCCACACATTTGTTTTAACACTTCAATAAAAGCACTAACGCCATCTATTGATAGACCCTCAAAAACAAACGTCAATAGAATTGAAATGTGTACATTTTGTGGCGCTGTTGTCTATTTTACGACGATAGATGGAGCTTACTGTATTTTGTTCACTAAGGCTAGTCTATAATTTCTTAAATATGTATCTTTTATAATAATCTTCGTCGTTAAATATTTTGATACTAATAATATTATTTGGTATATAAAATAAAACACCCATATATTATCATAAATCTATAATATTACACATTATGTCTACTTTCACACTACAACAAGTTTAGATTAGATCATTGTACACAGTACAATTAAATTGAGCACACTAATAATATGTTGCATAAGAAATTTTGTTTATAAAATATTCTATCCACACTTGTTTCAATACAAATTTACTCAGCATGATCGTGGACAGATATTTTAAAACTATATAAATCAATATTGCCGCATGCAACATATTATTTAACAGGATCTGTCTTAGACAGGGATATTTAATATGATGATTATCCTTTATGTAATGACAGTCCTGAATGTTCCCCTCCAATGTCAGTTATTACCTCAAATTTAATAACTTTTGTAGATATTAGGAAACCTGATAAACATCTACATAAGAAAAAACCATGTATGCGTGCCTAGTGGTTTTGTTTTAGTTCCTTTCCCTTGAAAAGTGAGTTTGATAGTGAAGGAGACGCATAGGAAGGGGATATATGGTCTTTATGTATCTCCTCCTCCATCAATCAAGCGTAAACAAGACATCTGCAATTACAGATGCCAACGGGCAGTGGCTGTTACCTTTTTGCCACCTTATTGCAAGAAAAAAGGAATAATTGTTAAATATTTGAGGTAATTATCTGATGGGGAGTTAACGTGTGCTCAATTTAATAGAAAAATCATAAATCTA